CTCTYTGTGTTGTTCTTGAAAGTTCTTCTCCTTGTAAGATTGTTTAGGTTAGGTTTTCCTTTTCTATCTTCCGCAACAATCTTTTGTATTTCTGTGTATATTAATTCTTGATATAAATCAATAAGAATTAAAAATTGAAAAAAGTCTGTGTAATTGTATTCAACCCCCACTTCTACAATTACTTTATGTTCATTGTCATCTCCTTCGGGACTAACAAATACATGCTTCAAAGACATAATTAACTCAAAACCCATTATTGGTTGGGAAAAATCGTCCTCTAACTAAAGTCATACAATTTACGTTTCCAAAATATCCCATAACATAACAATATGCATTTTTAAGCCAAATACATTAAAATGCATTTATCACCAAATAATCAATATTTATAAGACAGATCATCAAAAGAACCCATACTTATTATTTGTTTATCCAAATGTCTAAAAACCTCAAATATATGTACTTCTTAAGATTTTATAAAAGCAAAATCTGTAAAAGATGCAAATCTATCAAGAAATCAACAAGATTTCATAAATCTTAAGATAAACAGTTCAAGAATCCAAAATAAACATTTTTGACATGTACAAAATTTTCACAAAGAAACTTGAACTTGACTTACTGGGTTAAGTTAAACCTCGTTTTCCGAACCCATCTATGACTTCCAAGTGGTGAAGATTTTAGATCGACGAGCAAATCCCACCAAGGAAACTTCTCACAACTAATAACTAACTCAGAGACACCAAACATTAACCTAAGCTTCAAATCCACTGAAACCCCAAACATAGATCTCAAAAAGCTCATAAGAAACCACAAGGGTGGTGTCTGATTGGTTTGAGCTTGGCTTTAACGGTCAAAAGTACCAGGAGGTCCCAGGTTCAAATCCAAGGAGGAATGAAAATCTCCTTTTGGCCACGGAGGTTCAAATGCGGTGACTCCGAGCTATCTGCAAAGCAGGTGGTCGTCCTGGGATTAGTCGGCTCGCGTAGCGGAGAATATCTAGGTTAATAATAAAAAGCTCGTAAGACTTACCTCTTCAAACTTGCAAGATTTACGCTCAAACCTTGAAATATCTAAGTTGGATCTCCTCCAAAATGCTCCCAAAGATCTTTTCCACCTCAAGGAACTCCAAATCAAAGGAAAAAGAGAGGAGATGAAGAATACTCAAAACCGTTGCTTATAGAGAAAAGAGAAGAGGTTACCTTTCACAAATACTCTAGAATCCCTCGATAAACTTTAATCCTTTTGATCGACACTTGGAGAGCTTCAAAAATCGAGTCTCTAGGCTCATGAACACCAAATTGGGTAAGAGATGAAGGAGTTAACGGAAAATGAAGAAAACCCCAAAAATTCCATATTTTCAAAGGCTGGATGTCTCTGCCCCGCTTCACGACGTGAAGACCCTCTTTCACGGGAGTGAAGAAATGTTGTTCAAAAATGAGTTTTCTTATCTTTTTAGCACCAGGCCTAACCACTTCAAGATATCGATTAAGTTTTATTTTAAAGTCAAAGATGCATTTAAAACCTTAATATATACTTACTGAAATCCAAATATTACATAATTTAACAAATTATAGTTGTGTTTATCATATTAATGGGTATTCTTGTCATTTCTATTGAAAATTCTCTACAACCCTTTTGTTTTTTGGCTTAGAGAAAAGGTGAACAAGATTAAATATAATTTATGTATATGAGATATAAAGGAGGACAAATAAATAAATGGTTAGAAAATGTTTAATTGATTTTTTTTATTAACCTGGATATCCAACCCATTATGCGAGTTGGCTAATCTCATGACGACCATCTGCTTTGCAAATAGTCCAGAGTCACCGTATTTGAACCTCCATGGCCACAAAGGGATTTTTATTCCTCCTTGGATTTGAACCTGTGACCTTCTGGTACTTTTGACCTTTGGAGTCAAGCTCAAACCAATCAGGCACCACCCTTGTGGTTAAATGTGTAATTGTTTGCAATTACTTTAATTCGGTTTGGCGTTAACCGAAGGTGTACTTGCACATTTTTATTGTTTATGTACGAATTTAACAGGTTTAATTCGATGAAATGATTGATGATGGCCGAGTTCGAAAAAACGAATAATTAGAAGGAAAATGGTGCAATGGAAGTTGGAATAGGATCAGTAGTCGTTTACCAAACGCTTACCCGTAAGTGTTTGTTGGACCACTTACCTTACCAGATAACATTGTCAAAACCGAGAATCTTGCTGGTAAGAGTAATGGTAAGGATTAAGAGTAGAGGGTGACGACATTACTGGGTAAATTGTTACATAAGATGTTATTTTGATGTATTAAAATCTTATTCAGTTAGATTAATGAATATTAACTTTTACCTGTAGGCGCTACAGTGAACGGTCATTTAGTGTTTAAATGGTTCAAGTGATTAAAGAAAAGTACGGCAACGAAGTAAAACAACGGCCTAATGAACTCCCAAACCAAGAACTTGGGCTTGGGCCCAAACCAAAAATAGTCCGACAAGATGCAAAATCATACGATTTTCAAGGGGTATTTTTGGGATTTATTTCATTTGTAACAACTCGTCCCACATGGATAGAATGTGAAAATTGTTAACTTCTTACTAGTGGGCTACCAATTAGAGAATGAGATAAGCCGAGTTTTGGTTGAATTGAATAGGTGCATTAACATAAATACGGCAGTAAGAAGCGGCATTTTTTTCATATTGAAAAAGTATGAAGAACGGGCCAAAAGCGAGAGAAACCCCATCCCTCTCTTTCCTTTTTTCGCTCTTCGATGGGTACACGAAAGTGACGAAGTTGCTTCCATTATGTTGTTGCTAGCAAATACCACTATTTTTGAGGGCTAGTGACTGGAGTGAAGTTGTAACAAGGTAGCCGTACTGGAAGGTGCGGCCGGATCACCTCCTTTTCAGGGAGAGCTAATGTTTGTTGGGTATTTTGGTTTGACACTGCTTCACACCCAAAAAGAAGGGAGCTACGTCTGAGTTAAACTTGGAGATGTAAGTCTTCGTGTCATCTTACTATCTTTAAAGAGAAATACCACAATTCGAAGAAAAATATTATGTAATTGGTGGATTCATGAACGTCAAAATAAAATCAAACTCCAATTACATGGCATATATGCCATTTGGACAGTAACACGATATACATATCGTTTCTCTCTCGTCTCCGACATTTTGTCGTTTCTTTTGCTTGCTAATTGGAGCTTTCCATCGACAAAATGGTGTCTTTGCCGTACTGTTGGAGATATTGATGCGTCCTAAGCGTGGAGGGTCAGGCCTTAGTATTCCTGGAATCCCATGACCGGGCTAACAGGGTGTCATGCTTAAACGCGCATAACGTTTGCTACGTATTACCAGTTCAAACCTACGATATGCCGACTCAAAGCTTAGAACGAGGAGCATGTCCTAGGTAGGGCCTAAAGGATTTAACAAGCCAAAAGGTGCCGTTTAAACATGTTTTGAGACATTTTTGTGTTCTTCTATTGTTTTTTGTTTTTCATTTGGACTTTTATGTTTGGCTTATCATCTCTCTCGAGGCTCGTTTCTTTTAGAACTTCGGTTGTGAAAAGTGGATGGTCACTTGATCAGTAACAGAAAGTTCATTTTTCATCCAAATTCTGGGTTCTCTCTGAATTCAAGTTTGAGCGTAAAGTTTGGCATTCGTTGAATCAACAAGCTTTAAAAGATGCAACTTCTATGTGTTCACAAAATCAACAGATTAACTTTTGATTCGATTATCATACCCTGCATCAGATATTGACCAAAGGTTATTCATTACAAAAATATTTAGGGATAAGCTCGAGAAAATAGATGCAAAATATTATTTCATACGATCTAAAAGTGTTACGGTCAGTTTATATGATGTTTTTGAACGTTGTAACAATCTTTTTAGGACCTTTCTAAAATAAAATGTCGTATTTGTTATCTTATAGTAAACTTCAAAATGTCCTAGAGAAAGATGACTTTATAGGACACTTCTCAAAAATGACATAAATAATTAATACAACACTTTATTTTAAAAAAAGTCTTAAAAACATGTTGCAGCGCCAAAAAAAAATTCTATAAACTTATTGTAATACACTTTTAGATAAGATGTTTTAATCTTTGACTAGTCAAAAACTCAAAAAAAATTACTAGGTTAAAATTTAGGTTTTACATGATTTACCTTTCACTTTCCCCTATTACATTTTTCCACGGGCCCCCAACCCAAATCGAAACTGTTACTATAACCAAAAATATCTATTGAAATCATAAAAGAAAACTAAAAAAGTTATTCGAAATCGACAAAAACACTAAAAAAATCCCTCGAAATCAACCAAAAAACCTTAAAAATCCCTCGAAACGTTGTAATTAGGTTAAAAACACATCGAACGATTTTGCGGGCATTTAGTCTACCTTAAAGGTGACCCCACTGAACAAAAATCATGGATCCGCCACTGTGTAAGAGTATGTGCCAATATAACTGCTTTTGGCGTCTACGATATCAACTAACAACAAAATTCCCATCACCCAAACATCAAAGAAATTGTTTATCTAAACAAGCTTAAAAGCGACCCGATTGTGAACGCTCGTTTTTGGGAAACATAAAGTTTAACGAGTACGGATACAGTCGCACATTTATAAAGACGTAGATGAGTTCTCGTTCGTACTCGCACATTTATGAAGACGTAGATGGGTTCTCATCTTAATGCATGAAGGTAAGTACTTGTGTATGTTTGTTCATACTGTAGCAAGTACTATCATCTTACATGAATAAATTAATAGTATATTGTGCTATTCAGTTTAACCAAAAGAGTAAAAAAAAATTACCGAACAAACGAATCGTTTAATTTGAAAACCAAAAACCATTTTGGTTCGGATGTGTGATTCGGTTTCTGAATCTTTTACACCTTTAGACGTGCTTCCAATCACCAAAATTTCTGAATCCGTCACCATCTGTAATCAACTCCTAAAGAATTCAAAGTTATAGTCGTTTTAAGTTATGTTTCTTTGACAAAGTTTCTAACAAGTAATTCGGGATGAAAACCTGTATACAAATTACGTACTAATATACAACTTATGATCGTTTAATCGGGAATATAAACAAACTTTATTGTTCTTATAGATTTTTGAAAACTTATTTGAAAAAATAGAACAACAAACTATCCGAATCGAATCAAGATCTTTCAAGCTTCAATTCCTCTATTGCGACTTACCCTTCTTGCTCTCGACTCGACCATCGGTTCCGGCCATCATCGCATACTTATCCTTTCGAGTCAAATTTGTGCATTCGAATCCAAGCGTATCCCCAATCACCCGTTGGATATAATTCGCCACCTCAAATGCTGATTTCCCGCCTTTGCAAGTCAACTCCAACGGCAATTGATTCAAGAACGTTATCTCATATGTCGGTCTAGGGTTCATGAACACGAAATACGGGTCCAGAACCTTGTACCCACGAGCCGTCGTCCCATAAAACATGCTTTGTTTCGTATTGATCGCCACTGGGACGATCCTATCGGAGAGCTCGGCGAAAAGTGCACTAAATCTTAGCAAAAACGACTCCCGACATGTCGTTCCCTCCGGGCATATCACGAGATCGCCTTCTTCGAGTAATTGCTTGATGTGTGCGGCATCTTTATCTCTTTCCCGTGCCAACGCCACAGCTTTAATTGGAGAAATTAGCTCAGAGAATTTACTAATGCTATATGTGACACAACTGATCTTTCGTCCTAGGGCCACTGCGGTGACCACAGGGTCGATAACGGCTCGATGGTTGCACACGAAGATCACGCCGCTTTGGCCTTGGGAAGGAGGGGGTGGAGGGGTGCCCTTGACGACTAGTTTGATGCCGAGGATCTTGTAGTTGTAGTACACGATCCTTTCGGGTAACGGGATGTTGAGGTAAACCCTAAGAATGGAGAGGAGAATGCCGATCGGCATCCATAAGAAGGTGAGTAGAGCGACGAGCGGTGTAGGCCTTTGAACAAGACGACCTTCATGAAAGATGATCGGACTTAGAAGCTTGTTTCTTGGTAACGGCTCGCATCTCGTTTTCGGTACTGTATATCCTTCCTACAATCATAAAACCGTAAATTATAAGAATGAATTCGTTGATTGCAAACGTGGCATGGATAGATATCACAGATGATGAATGAATTTTTTTTTCATACAATACTTTATTCTTGTTCCTAGCCGTCTTTTACAAGTCCGGAAACAACCTTACGTCCGTTAAGACCTTTTTGGGAACTAATTATGCTTCTTATATTTTTTATAAATGTCTGTATAATTTTCTTTTAGATTATTGTCGTCTATTTTATCTGTTAGTTTTTATTAAACATTAATAGTTTATCAGTTAACTTATAAGTCAACAACTAGTTTTTCAGCTAATAGGTAGCTTATCAGCTACACTACCACAAACTTGACTTTATTGGATTCTTATAATGTTAGAGCGTTTTTAAAAGAATATTTTACATGATTTAAATTTATAGTACCAAACCAAAATGCATCATATCTAAAAATGTTACAATATGTTTATAAGATGTTTTTGTGCCTTTTAACAAGTTTTTAGGATGTTTTTAAAATAAAAATGTTGTATTTGTTATTTAATACGACACTATTTGAAAAAAAAGTGCCTTATAAAAAACGGATGTACAAGACACTTCTCAAAATTGTCTTTAAAAACTTATTAGAACATCTAAAAACGTTCTATAAACATATTGTAACACTTTTAAATATGACTTTTTTATAATTTGATTATATAAACTTAAGTTTTTATACGACATTCAATTAAGATGCTTAGACATTTTAAACTTCAATTTTATGTTGGTACTAGCTTGTGAGATTTATAATCAAATAAGATTCTTTTGATATTACTTGTTTACCCTTGTGTTGCCATTAATTCAAACTAAATTTCCAAAATTGTGCAAGGTAATGAGAGGAAATGAAAGAAACCAAGAAAGGTTAAAATGGTCTTTCCATCCTTGACATCCCCATATCTTTTGAAGATCACATGTTTACTCATGTAAGGACTACCCAATATAAATGGGTTGAATGTGTATTCAATTACTTACGTTTACCGGGTAAGAGTCGTCACATTTACTTACCTGGTAAGACTTTCAATCATCGTCATCGTTTTTATTGGGTAAGATTATCGACTCTTTCTTTGTTCACCGGTAAGATAAACGACCCGATAAACATTTAATAAACTACCTAAGAATAGTATATGTATGTTTTAAATATGTATGTGTACGTGTGTGTGTGTGTGTATGCAAATGTTGAGAATTATGAGAAACAGTTTCATATGTATTGTTTTACGCACTATAATAAAATTGATTTTATAGGGCTCCTAATATAGAAGCGTCCTAAAAAAGGACTTAAGTTATAAAAGCAAACTAAAAAGCGTCTCACATAAATGTGTTACAACAGGACGTTTTTAGGCGTTTTAACAAGTTTTTATGACGTTTTTAAAATGAAGTATATATCAACTATTTTGTACAACACTATTTGAAAAAGTCTCATGTAAATACAAGTGTCCTATAAAAAGATAGGTTTACAGGACACTTCTCAAAAGTGTCATATAAAATAGCTAATAAGAGACAATATTCCAAAAAACTTGTTGAAACGTCTAAAAACATGTTATAAATCTATTGTAACACTTTTAGATATGACGTTTTATAAACTTCAGTTCTATAAAGTATCCAATCAAGACGCTTAGACAATTTGGATAGCAAGTTACAAATTTTGTCTCGGTCCCGACTCGAGGAAGAATCAAAAGAACCAAATGAATTATATACAAGTTAATAATAACATCGATTAAATGAAGTTGACGATATTGCATGTGAAACAGAACTATTCATATGTGAAAAAAACACGATCGTTATTTATTATAAATATAGATGTTAAAGCTTTGTGCAATAACGACTTGTACCCTAGAGATACTAAAACCAATAATTGGGGTTGGAATAAATGACCATCTACTCAAGTGGTCCTTTATTAATATAAAACTAAAACTAAAACTAAATGCTTATCCAGTAAGCACCTATCGTTAGAAGTCAACATATAATTTATTTTACGGGGTAAGATTGTAGTACATTAAAATGATATCGTATGCAACAATTAACCCGGTAAGCACTTACTCGTATAAGAATAGGCACATTTACTTACCGAGTAAGACTCTTCATCTTTATTATTGCTCTTACCGGGTCAGATTTTTTATTCTTGTTATGTTTATCAGATAAGAAAAATTATCCGGTAAACACTTAACAGGTAAGTGTTTAGTAAACGGCCCCTAAATAATCATTTATTTGAAGTCCAAAAATACAATACATAAATACGATTTAAAATTGTTTTCTAGAAAATAAAAAAATAAATTAAATATTTAAATATATGATGGAAAAATATGTATTAATTTTTAAGGAAGAAAAAGAAGGGTTCATGCTAAAGCCATATGGCCATTAAAGCTTTCACCAAACCCTATCAAGAAATAACAGTTGAAGGAAGCTTTAAATTGTTGTACCTATATGCAGCTCATATACAGCTATAATATATACATATATGTATATATACATACATATATGTATATATATATATATATATATATATTATAAATAAATTATTTTTTGTAAATGTCAGAAAAGAAACTGAAATGGTTAATGATTAAGTGGTCAGAATGACTGAGAGACTCTCATGATATAGTGCAATATGAAATATAATTGTTCGGTAATTGTTTACAAATGAAATTAGAGCGCTGAATGGTTAAAGAAGAACCAGAATACAAAATCATTCAGAAAGTTTTAGAATCATTAAGAAGCAGACATTGTTTTTAGACAAACAAAATTCACCTTCTAAGGATTAAAAAACTGTCTATTAATGAAATTATTAAGAGGTAAACAAACAACATTTTTATTCTTAATGTATTTTATGTTGCTAAAGATGGAAGTTATGGGATTTATTATGAATCAATTATGTTATATATTATTGTTTATTTATTACGAATCAATAAATTAATTTGTTACGAATCAATTACATTTATTGTAGCAAATTAATTTTCCAAATTAAATGATGACAATAATTTATGCTGTACACTTAATATTGTTATTATTACCAGAAATTAATAAGATTATATTATAATCTTTAAGTTTTCAATTTCACTTTATTATATATATATATATATATATATATATATATTTGAGTTTCAAACGATAACACCTTCATTTTACGAGAACGTGAGAACACTTTTATCACATGTTATAATACGCATGAGGGGACCCTGTGGTGTGCGGACGACGTGTTCTACGACTTAGCCCACACCAAAGGTTGTTTGCGTCTATGATTTAACATCATATGTGATGGTTTTGATGAATTATAGTATCATATCAACAACACTCTTATCACATGTGATAATACATGTGAGGGGGCTTAACAGTGTAAGGGCGACTTAGCCCACAACCAAGATCGCATCGAAAATCGTCCACGTCTCTGATTTAGTATCACATGTGTATCATATGTGATTGAATAATAGTATCACATGTGATTGTCTATAGTAAAAAGATGTTCTCGCATTCTCGTAAAATTAAGGTGTTCTCATTTGAATCCTTCCATATATATACAGTGAGAGATGCGTTTAATCATTTGAAAACTCAATATTTTGATAACTTTATCATAAAGTATTGTTTCATATGATTTTTTTATATCCGAGCCAAAAATTTAAGATATTAATTAACCTATATTTGTTTTACAATTTATTTGTTTCATATGTATTCATTTCATAACGTGAAACTTTTTAGATATATTTTTTTATTTCACAAATACATTAATAATTTTCATGTGTTATTTTATATAATTTTTTCTATCTACGAAAGTCTAAAATTATTACAATTTTATGTGTTCTTAAATAAAAATCGTTTAAATTTCTTAACAAAAAGAAATTGACTGAAAATATTAATACGACAGTTTTTTTATAATTTACATTTTATTAAAATAAAAGGAGTTTTTGTATATTAAAAATAAATAATAATATTAATAGTTGGAGGAGGAGGCACATGACCTACATTAAAGCAGTTATTTACTCTTGACAACAGGCCACGTGTAATTCAGTGTGCCATTTAAAACGGTATACAGTTCTCCTATTTACCTTCTCCCATGTTTTTTTTTATGTCATGTCAAATATAAGAATTTTTTTTTTGTCCCGTTCTGTTCTATATAGTCTGTATATCAAATACATCATTAATTCTTAATAGTTATATTAAAAGAATTTGAATCATTAAAATATAAATTTTGTTTGGCAAAAAGAAAATCTGACTCTTAATCATTCTAAAACTATCTGAATGATTTTGTATCTTGTGTCTTCCTTAGCCATTAAGCGTCATAATTTCATAATAAACAATTATATTTCATTTTGCACTATATCATGAGGGCATCTTAATCATTCTGACCACTTAATCATCCTACATTGAACGATTCAGCAACTGTCAAACAACCGCTTAGTCCCTGAAAGAAAACCTTAGGTCCTTTGACATTAAATGTCTCCTCAAATTAAGTTCATTTCCTTTCTCGTCTAAAATATTAAATGAGGGCCATAATGCTGTCTACATGTTCTTCTTTCATGCCGAACAAGGTCGGAACGATCAATTCATTTCTATATTGAAACAGTTTTTTATGGAAGTCGAAAACATTATATATTTTTAACTGAAGAAATGAAATCATAATTCAAGTTTATGTTCAATTTTTCTACTGTTTTGATTTCAACTGTAATTTAGAAAAGGCAGGTGATAGTGTTGTAGGGTTAGTCTTTCGTAATGGTTATGGATCTGATGGTGGATGGTGGTGATGAGTGACTGATTGCTGGTACTGAATTCTATGAAATTGTAGATCAAACTCATGATATTAATTAAAGAATGTTATTTAAAACACAGTAGTAATTACTGTAATTATTTATCAACAATGTTCTAATATGTTCTTAATGTAACGTTTTAATTAGTCTTTATCATCTAACCACCAACAATGTCTATATATAGAGAGAGGGGGTTCAGAGGAAAATCCTCAAAAAATTGAAAAACTGAGGAACACCCTAGTAACCAATTACGTGAACGGAATGCACATGTAGATACAAGTAATTGAAGTCATTTATTGGTTTTTATGCATGTGTGCATACCGAACAAATTGGTTACATATTACCAAAATGCATATGTGTATATTGTTCAGATGAACAGTTATCAGGTTGTTACTCAGTTTTTTATTTTTTTTACGATTTTCTTCCTAACCCGATCCTATATATATTATAAAGTTATATGACATCTTTCTAAAATTTTGGAGTTAAATGAACTAATAAATAATAAATGGAAGAAGAAGAATAATAATGATACCTTGCAAATGGACATGAAATCTTTGTCAGTTTCACCATCTCCAAGACCCAAATCAGGTAAATTCGAACCTCCAAATTCTCGAAAAATGGCAGCTTTTTTAAGCTCGCCATCAAGAACACCGGGTTCTGTAACGAACCCGGTGGCTCGACCATTTTTCGAAACTTCCAGTTCGGTCCCGAACACCTTATCGGCCCCTAAAAAATGCTTCGCAAAATGTTCCACCATCACCGATGGGCTTGATGTCACCACATACCTCTTTCCAAACGAGTTAAACACCCTCCATGTCTCTGGTCGAACATCTTCCACATAAAATCGTGGCAAAACCGAGCTCGATACGAGCTCCACATCTCGGATCTGTAGCCCGACAAACGAGATGAAAATATAGATACGAGTAGCTGCGGATTCGGAAAACAGGACGGAAGTCAAGAAAACGAATGGGAAAGACAGTAGTAGGAGGAAAGCTCGGAAAATGCTTCCGGCTTCGAGGGCTATGAGGAAATAGTATGGAAACAGGCTGCGGGAAACGAGGAGGGTGCCATCGAGATTGGATGCGACGGTCTGGCTCGATCTCGATTCCGAGCTGCATTCGGAGATGGGCTCGAAATCGGGATGAGGTGAAGGCATTGTGAGAATATGATGAGAAATTGAAGTTGTTGTGGGTCGATTTATGAGGATGAAATGGTGGGGGTTTAAAAAGGAGTTGGGAATACGAACTTTGAGTTGTTATTTTGTTTATTTTATTTTTATTTTCATGCAAAAAGTATTACGTGCATGTGAGAAATTTTAAAAAAATGTAAAATATTAAAGTCTTGGAATTTACCAAACTACCCTTTTGGTCTCATGTCCAACTTTAGACCCATATTTGACAAATTATTTTATAAATTAGCGTTTAACTGATAAGTTAATCGTTTAACTGTTACTTGTTAGAGATGACAACGGTTTTAGGGTACCGGGTATTCCAATTCCCATCGGGGAATAAAATTTCATCCCCATTTTCATTTCCAACGGGAACGGTGATTAAGGGAATCATGGATTTTGTTGGTGATTTGTATCATTAATATCATTTAAGTGTAATGGATTAATTTGTTGATCAATGTAATCATGATAAATATTGAACAAGTAAGGAAGGTGTAGAGTATATACTTGTTTGAGTTTATTTTTTATTCGGGTAATGTTGTTTTGTGAAAAATGCTTCAAAAATCCGAATTTAAAATTTTAAACCCGGTTTAGGGTTCAAAAACTGTCGTTTTTGACAGTTTTCGTATTCAATTTTGAAAATTGGTCATTTTGATTTTGAAGAGGTACACAGATACATAACAATCGATTCGTTGTTCGAAAACCATGGATTTTATCCGATTGAAATTTCAATTGTACCATCGAAATACTTCAATCTAAAAGTGTTACACGACTGTCAGTGGAATCCAAACAATCAAAATCCCGAAATTCTAACAGATTTTTTTTCCGTATACATAAATTAGTTTTTTTATGTATTCTTTTATATATTATTTATATAATTGTCAATTTTACGTTTAAACGGCATATAATGGTAAAACATTAATCAACCAGATTCTAATTGTTGTATTTGTATAAAAGTAACACAAACAAGCCTATCTCAATCGCAAATATATCAACTACAGTACTTAATAATTCAAAATTTTATACAACGACGTTATTACATCAATAAAGGTTTTTCACGAATTTGAACAACCAGATCAATATATGTAATTTCATTTACAAATTTTATCATGTAAAATTATTATATTTATACATTATATATACTGATTGGGTTTCTTATTTTATTATTATACTTGGTATACCCAGAGGCTCGCTCGAAAAGGCTGCTATACGATACCTTTTGACTTAACTCTACTCTAGTAGTCACTAGCCTCACTATAGTACTTCATCCAGCTGCTCTTATTGAAATATTACTCTTCATTCTCCCGTACGTGAAGCGTGTAAGCCTGCGTCAGAGGAGCATAGGGACACATATATGTATATACTAGAAGAGTATCCGCGCAATGCAGCGATATATATCTCGATTTTAATGTTCTATATTATTATTTGTCTATGTCGATGTTATAATACGATTTTATGTGTTTTTAAGAAAAAATAATGATTTTATTTTTGAATAAAATATAAATTAAAAAAATATATATCAATATTAATATCAAATCAACTATTTAAAAGTTCTCAAATTTTTATGTAATTTCTTTAAATTTTTTTATAATTTAATTTAAGTTTAATAACGAAATAATTTATTTTTGGTTTAATAATATAAGATTTTATAAAGATAACAATTAAGTATTCTGTTAGAACTCAATAATTATCCTAATTATATTTTAGATTTTTTATATTTAAAATGAGATGTTTATCCTTAATTTGATTATGTTTATCTACAGTTAGTTACACGAATTCAGATATGGAGCTTTAATAAGTTGTACTTACGCATAATCTACTTGTAATCTTGAGTTTTAAGTAATATACATAAATAAACAGTACTTTACGCATAAAAATGGTTTTTAAGAGTTTTTGTCAAATGCTTTATAATATACTACATGAAAATGTATTATTAATACTCATGGTAACGTTTGGGTCGAGATGTGTTATAAATTCAGGGATGCCCCGGTCAAACGGGCTTTGGATATCGGGTTCCCCATCAATGTCATATCCTTTTCTTCTCTTCCTTTCCTTTTCGAAAATAAAAATAAAACAATTTATTTTCTTTTATGTTTTATTTTCTTTAAAATTCGAAAACACAATATAAATGGATTGATTAAGAATGTGTAGAAAAATTAATTAAAAAAATATAAAACCATAAATAAGAAATATATATTCAAAAACTATTGAAACTTATTAAAAAAAACTACTTAGACGTTGTTTGTTTTTCATAAAAAAATTTATATCAATCCCTTATATCTGATTAGTTAAGAGGCAAGACCATTCAGACTGTTTGTATTTTTTTTTTATTTTTCAGAGGCATTTATCTCCTATTTTTCTTTTATCTGATAAGAGGTAAACCAACTTCTTATTTGTCTCTTATTGTTCTTCAAATTCTCAATAACGATGTTTCTCAATCGATTAAGATCATTTTTCTAGATTGATCCTTACCAAATCAATCCTCACCTTTCTCAATTAATGTATTTTAATAAGATGTAAATGTGTCAAACACCATTAATGACATAATGATAATGAATAAATATGTGAACTATATAAATTTATCTATAAATTCAACACTATAATTTTCGATGGGTAAAATAGAAAATTTAAACAAATTCAAACGTTTATCAATTTACAAAAACAAACAGTCTTATTAATTCAGATTTCAGACTTCAACAACACCTCTTATAAAGCAGAAGTGTAATAAAACTTCAGATTTCAACATCTCTTAAAAAAACAAACGCCACCTTAAAATAGTTTTTGACTTACAGTTAATTAAATGGTATATATTTTATAAACTAGTTTAAGATTAATGGTTTAATCATTTACCGTATTTAACCTATCTAAATATAATATTAAATGCATTAATTAACATATATTTGTTTTGAAATGTATTTGTTTTACATTGTGAAACTTTTTTACATGTATTTTTTGTTTCATAAACACATTAACAAAATTCACATTATAAACCGAATACATATAAAACAAATCTATACTATATTATAAAGCATTTGGCTAAAACTCTTAAAAACTCTTAAACTCTTAAAACTCTTAAACCCGTTCATTGCTAAACGATTTCATC